AATGATTTTTTTATTTAATTATAAGATAAAATACAAAGTTAAAAAAATTTCAAAAATATATGACTTATACTGTATATATATTTATTTATATTGGTTTTTTTTTTATTTTTATAATTTTTATAAAATAAACAATATAATTTAAATTTATAATATATAATTATAAAGAGAATTTACAAATTTTTATTTTATTGAAAGACTTAGATCTTGATTTTATTTAATAAACAAGAAATTTTTTAATTTGATAAATCACATTTAAAAATTTTGTATTGTTGATAAATAACCTTGTATTTGTAAGAATTCAATATAATTTAATAAATAATAATTTCAATCTAATTGTGAATTAAAAAATAAAATATAATAGATGTCAAATTTTTAATAAAAAATAAAAAAATTATTTATTCGAATTTAATAAAATTTTATTATAAATCGAGTTTGTTATAATATACAAGTTTACTTAATATATAAAAATTTATTTCATTAGTAGAATAAAAAATATTTAAGATATAATAATTATTTTCAATTAATAACAATAATTTTTAAGTGATCTTTCATTAATTGAGAAACACTATATACTGTATATATTGGTGTATTATTTATTTAAATATATAACTTATAAGTGAAAAAAAAGTTTAAATCACAATATGTTTTTTATTAAGTAACGAATTGTTAAGATTTTAACTTTTTTTCACTTAATGTGTACTGTTAAACTTTTACGTACTGCATGCACAATTTAATTTAATGAAATTTTTTTAAATAAATAATGATGCGTAAGATTGCTGTAATTTAAAATATTGAAAATTATTTTTGAGTCTAACCATATGTTAGATATGTTAGATACATGAAGGTAGAAGATATTGATCGTACCATTAAAGCTCTAGCTTAAAAGTAGATTTGTATTCATGACCAGTTAATTGATTTTTAGCAATAGCAGTAATCTCCATCCTACCAAACATCAACCTAAAATCCACTGGTCTTTCCTTCCCTAGATAAGTGTCTGGCATATCAACTATAATCTCACCCAGCAACGACATCCCCAACTCATCACAATATGTTCCTTTCTTTTCTTTGGTAAAGTAAACCGTGAATCTCAGACTGGTCGTATGTTCCAACGGTTTAAACGATTCACCAAAAGCTTCATCCACACCTACTTCTTGTCCACGTTCAACTAATTTATGAAATTTAAATATATACTTCCCATCAACTTTCCGTTCTGGAGGATCAAACATTCCATGTAAATTTTGTACCTCTATACCATACGTATATTTTAACACGCGAGTTTTAATGGTGTCCATTTTAAGACCATAATCTAGTGCGCCCCTAACTATTGCCGCTTGAGGTTGCTTGGGGACTGCAATGTCCTTAATTCGACTTGCAAATTCTTGTCGAATCCTAGATTGCAAGTATTTCGACTCACTAAATCCACCCACCAAGAACATTACACTACACTCTCCACCTGCATTAAGTTGTCCAGAAATCAATCGAATTATCCTTCCTATGATAGGATCAAACATCGCTTTCACCGATTCGAAATCAAGTTCAATTATCCACTCGTCGTCTTCCAATTTTTCCTTATATGAACCAGTAACGTATTGTTTAACCACCGGACAAACCTCCTCAAGGTCTAACTCGAAAATCTTAAATTCTTCCGGATTTCCTGTAAATAGTAATTTTACGCGCCGACAAAATTCTTGAACCATATATTGCAGTTGACCGTAGTGCTGCTCCTCTAATATATTCATCGTTTGATCACCGATATGACGTTTCATTAATTTTAAAAATTCTCTGTCCACATATGCACTACCGCAAAAATCACCGGTGCGCTCAGTAACTTCACCTAACTGATCGCCTGTTATGAATCTTCGAGTTGTTAAATCAACTGTCCCTCCTCCAGCGTCTACGATTAGAAAACTTTCTGAAAAGTGTAAAACAGTTGAAATTTACACGAAACTACGGTATAAGCCAAAGAGAAGTAAAGAAAAAACATACTGCCTTCGGTAGTAGCGAAGTATTCTTTTAATACTCGCATACAATGGATGGCGGCAGCCTCAGCTAATATATATATAAGATATCATTAAGATTCATAAAGAATCTTTTTTTTAAAAAGAAAAAAATTTCAAAATAGTTACGCTCAGTCGAAAACTGCAGTTTTTCCGATTTCAGATTCCCGATAAGTCCCGCGTTGTATGCACATTCCCTCAATATTCCCTTTGATTTTTCAGAATATTCTGCTGGAACAGTGAGCACCATTAGTACATGATTTAAAAAATCTAAGCCAGGCCAACGCACTTCAAGCGTTCCTTTAATTAACTGCGATCCAATAAAAAATTCATTAGATCAAAAAGTTATTTTTCGAGAAATTATTTGAAATGTATCTTTCTGCCTTACTTTGCCTGTATTTCGTTGTAAGATGACATATTACCAATTTAGAAGTTTAGATTAATGGTTTGCAGGAATAACATAATTAAACTTCTCAAATGAAAACTTGTTTAATACCCACCCATTTCTCTTAAATAATCTGTAATTGCCTTCTTATAATCCAATCCTTTTGGCAAAGGGCGTTTCTCCGATTCCGGTATATCACCCAAATGAAGTTTAAATAATTCAACTGGTTTATAAACGACATTCTTGCTACGACCTTTTCGTTGAGGTCTCTTGGCCAGTGCCGGGTAACCCCATTCCTGCACATTTTTATACTTTTCGTCATATTGAAGTACGGTATTAGTCTTGATTGTCCCAATCACTTCTGGCTAAGCGAAGAAGAGACATTAACAAAGAATATTTAAGAGATTTGAACACACGATATTTAAAAAAATGTAAACACGCAATATTCACCCAAACGTCATTCGTTATAATTTCTGGATTTTGTTTATGCTAAGGAAAATTGAACAGATAATCAATAATCATGATACGCATTTTAAGATTGAGGTAAATAAAGTTTTCCATATCATACCGCATAAGCGAAGCCCTGATATATTTTTTTAAACGGAAATGGAATTAGATAAAGAAAATTTTTAATGGTATTCAGATTTCAAACTTACAGAGTATGTTGTTCCGAAATCTATATGGGAAAAACCGGAAATTTTCAATAAAAATCGTTTTATGATTTGAAATATTGATTTTTACCTATGGCAACAACTACACGAATGTCGCTTCTCCAGGACATTTTCACTTAAATGACTTAAATGTGATCTGGCTACGTTGTATCCACAATGATTTATAATTAAACACGGTATGTATCTGATAGCGTTTGTTATACGAATTATTGAATGTGACACTCGGAAAACAAGGGTGACATATCAAATTTGTCACAAACCTAATTGAGGATTTGAATGGCAATTAAGTACCACAAGTAGATACATGTACATAACGTGTTCACACTTCGGAGACAAACTCCGCGTAGAACGCATATTTTTTGTTTATGAACAAACAATACAAAGCGAATTCTTATATATATGCCTACTTTTAACTTATTCCGAACTAAATCATATTTACGTTCTTACATTTCAGGTTCTCTAATAAATTGGAAAAATGTCGAATAATGGGAATGAAACTGGAGAACCAATGCGAGATATTGAGGGAACCACTGGTAATGAACCTATGGATGAAGACGAGAAAGTGTCGAAGGAATTTGATGAATTTATATCATGCGAAGAAATGAAGCAACAAGAATGCGATCAACAAACGGAGGAGTTTGTTATGGTCGAACAACAATTATCTGAACAACAATTAGCTCAACAGCAATTAGCTGAACAAGAACAACAATTAGCTCAACAGCAATTAGCTGAACAAGAACAACAATTAGCTCAACAGCAATTAGCTGAACAAGAACA